TTTTGCACATGTATTTTAATTTAATGTGCATCTAAAGAGGATTTTTTATTCCCTTTTATTTTCCACCTGGGAATAAACATATTGCAACCATAATTATAAATTGACAACCAAACCTTGTAAGAATCATTTGCGTTTAAATTCAGAAATTTATCAGACCAATTAATTTTGTTAAAATAATCATTAAATCACTCCTAATTCCTTTTGTCATATAGTAGTTTACTCATTTTAGAATATGGATAGTTGAACTTGAAATAAAACAATAAAATTAGTTAGTAATAACAATAAAATAAAAAATTAGATAATACAATAAAATGAAAAAGTTTGACAAAGAATCTGTGATTGATTTTGCGATTTTGATCTCATAGATGGTAAGATGAGAATAAGTTAAAAAAAAAGTTACTTTTATTTTATTTTCTTATTTATTTATTATATTATATATATAATATCCTAAGTATTTGTGAAAATAAATTGTAATTATTTTATTATATATATATATATATAATATATATATATATATATATATATATATATATATATATATATATATATATATATATATATATATATATATATATATATATATATATATATATATATATATATATATATATATATATATATATATACATATACATATAGATATATATATTATTTATTTATTATTTATTATTTATTTATATACAAAGAATCTGTGATTGATTTTGCGATTTTGATCTCATAGATGGTAAGATGAGAATAAGTTAAAAAAAAAGTTACTTTTATTTTATTTTCTTATTTATTTATTATATTATATATATAATATCCTAAGTATTTGTGAAAATAAATTGTAATTATTTTATTATATATATATATATATAATATATATATATATATATATATATATATATTTATATATATATATATATATATATATATATATATATATATATATATATATATATATATATATATATATATATATATATATATATATATATACATATACATATAGATATATATATTATTTATTTAGATGCTTCTGTATAAAAATTTAGTACTCTGATTTTAAAAAACAAATAAATTGTTTAAAACTTACTTTATTTTATTTTGCATTTTTAATCATTACAAAAATGCTATCATCTCAATCTTAAAAGTCAAAATGAAAAGTTTCAAGGTTCTCTGCTGTTTGCAATCACAATTCTTTCTTTTTTTTAAGTACAAAACATGAAAAATTATGTTAAAAATGCTATTTTACTCAATTATTTTGTTTACTCTTCCTATGATAAATAATTTTCAGGCTTGATATACTTTATTTTTTAATGTTGACTGGTTTAAGCTAATATCTCATCAATTAAAGATGATAGTGACTTGGAAATTTGACTACCGTGTATTTTAAAATAATTGAAACATACATTAAAAATAAAATACAATAAAAAAAAAATTAATATCAAAACTATTTCTTCAAATTTTTCTTTGCTGCTGCATTCGTCTTCATTGTTGCTTGACTGTGTCACTTTTTTTAAAAAAAGATTGGTAGAAATATAGTAATAAACTGTTTTTAAAATCCCTTCCTTGAAAACATTATTATTGTAATACTAATGTTATATGAATTTGCACATATATGTCATTGATATTTCTCACAAGCTTCTTTACTTCTTATAAACTTCTTAAGCTTCTTAACTTAATAATCAATGCTTTTCACAACTGCATAGATATATCCCGCACTAATTTTTAGAACTATTTTTGCATTAACATTGAAGCAAGTTTTCAGATGCAATATTCAAGTCTGCCTAAATATATTTGCATACCACTGTGTTTGAAAAAATTGTGTTCATCTCTCAACGATATCATTGTTTTAAATGACAAATGCTTCTAATGAAATCTTGCTGATACCTTCTTCGGCCCAAATGTCCATAAATGTTGTTGATATCTGCTGTACAAATTTTGACTTTGATAAATGGTTTAAAATCATTTTGTTTTTTATTGTAGAACAGAGCTGAATTTGTACCACATGCAGTCATAGCATGTACAAATAAAATGTTGTTTTTATTTCCTCTATTGTTAGATTTAATGACTTTAAGTTCCATACTTTATGCAGGTGCTCTGTGTAGAAAATAATTCAACTAAAATAAATATGCAGGTGCTCTGTGTAGAAAGGTTGCAAGGACATGCCCCTGAAGAGTGGCGTTAGTGCAGGTCTCAGGCTCTCTGAAACGTCATTGGTGATCGCAGTGTATTCCTGAAGAGGGGGATCACCATTTATTCACTACTTAATTCTAATTGGTTATTATGGCACCAACATTTTTTTACCTCTTAAACCCATGTATTTTTGCGCTTTGTGAGCTTTTTATTATAAATTTGTTACATTAACGACATTTATATATTTTTATGTTACACAGGTGATTATCAGTTTTCAATTTTTTATCTAGAGTTTAGAACATATATAGTACCACATTTATTAGACACTTGTATGGTGCGATTATTTTAGTTATGAATACCATTATAAACCAGCGGATTTTTATTGACTTGTTTACTCATAGATCATTGTTTTATCATTAGCTAAAAGATGACTAGAGTGTGAGTTTTTATTCCTCTTTTCCTGAGTTGCTAACTTTTATTCCTCCTACTAAATAACCTTTACATTAATTTATGTTTTTTTACCTAAATGACATCATCTTCAATCTGTTTTTATTTTCACATCTCCCAGGTCTACGTAACTGGACAGCTCCGTTGGTCAATTTTGCGATCTCAAATTTGTGCTGGTTTACAATTACCTGTATCTGTTCAACGTGTCAGACTAATCTTACGTGAAGATCCAAAAACAGTTTGAAAAAAGCATAAAGCAAAACCAAAACTTACTGTTCGTCATAAAGAAGTTAAATTGCAAAAGAAAACATGACTTGGCAGGAAGAGTGGCATCAAGTTCTTTTTAGTGATGAAAAAAAGTTCAATCTAGATGGTCCTGATGGCTATTAATATTACTGGCACAACCTTCGAAAAGAGAAAGAAACTCAAATGAGTCATAACTTTGGTGGTGGAACTGTTATGGTTTAGGGAGCTTTTTCTTTTGCTGGAAAATTTCCACTGGCATGAATTTCAAATGAATTTACAGGACTACATTAACTTATTAGAAATAAGTTTGCTTGAAAATGCTGAGGAATCGATGGGTGAAAATTTCACTTTTCAACAAGATAATGCTGCTATCCATAATTCAAAGCTTACAAATGCTTGGTTTAGAGAAAAAAATATGGAATGGAATGGCTCACATGTATTTTCTTGTATATAACGTAAATGAGGTTAATTCTATTTTCTCCACAAATTGAATACTTTTACCTTTTTTTCCATTTGTAATTAATTAAACATACAAATTTATATACTTTATAGTTGCAGTAGATAATAAGAAAAAAAGTAGATTTAATAATTGTTTCACTGCCATTTTTGTTAAATAAGAATGAAAAATAAAGGTGAGGCTAAGTCTATTTTCCCCGCTGTAATTACAATAATAATAACAATAATAATAATAATAAAATTAATAAAAGAATAATAAAAAGAAGAAGAAGAAGAAAAAGAAGAAGAAGAAGAATATCTATAATATTATAAATAATAAAATCATGATATCATTATTAAGAATAATTATAAATAATTGATTTAGAAGGATGGAGTCACTCATGCAAAAACCTGATCAAAGGAATGAGACCAAATAGTTATATTAATAATATTAATTTTTAATTAATATTAATATTATATAATATATTATAAATAAATTAATATATAAATAATAATAATATTGTTAATATTAAAATTTATAATAATAGCAATAATATTTCAGGTTTGTGGTAGCTTAATATGAATTTATTTTTGTGACATTTGGAAATCAACTCTTAGCATTTTTATAAAGTAAAATTAATAGTTTTTCATATAAACATAGTAAAAAATTTTTTGTTGTGTTGTTGCAAGCAAGGGCTTTTTTTATTAGGATAGACCATGCTAATTCCGGTGTTTCTTTGAATTTTTTCCTAGTTTCCCATATATATTTAGAGAGCGTGGTTGCAATTAAATTTTTTTAAATGATTGCTTATGATTCACATATCTTTTTTATAACATGCACTCTGATAAATCAGTGTATGCTTTACTAGGTGTTTTAGGGGAAGATATGCATTTGTAAATTATATATGTTGCTCTACAATATTTATTCAACATGCAAGATCCAAGCCAATTTAAAGAGCGTTACTTTTTTAGACATTATTTTTAATCTTCAAATATGCATTATAAAAAAATTTTATAATGCATAAATTAAAGATTTAAATGACAAACTAGTTTACCAATCAATTAAGTGTAATGCATGAATAATTTTTGTTTCTCATTGTTTAAGTTTTTGAACTTCAAACAAATACTGAAAACTGGGAATAACATGGCAAATTCTCCTGCAATGCATGTATATATTTCGCCTGCTTTTTAAGACATTAACAATTTAACTTATAATAGACAACAAAAATACAAAATAGTTACCATTTATAAAAAAAAAAAAAAAAAATTAATTTTTTACATAATATAATATACAAATCTAATAGCATGCTTCCAGTATTTCCTATATTTTATTCAAAATACTTTTTATTTTAAAAAAATGTAGATAAAAAAAAGTAAGAACTCTACTACCAGATACCTTGTCTACTGCATAGGTACAAAGGTGAGAGGGCAACCAAAATCAGTGCTTAAATTGCATGTTTACTAACTGAATACTTTAATAACTATTTATTTAAATTATTTCTACATAAGTAAGATTTAAACATATTTAAAAAATTAAATTACTACTAGAATTATTTACCTTGTGTTTGACTGTATATTACTATATTACTTGACTGTATATTACTGTATATACTAGAATTATTTACCTTGTGTTTGACTGTATATTACTATATTACTTGACTGTATATTACTGTATATACTAGAATTATTTACCTTGTGTTTGACTGTATATTACTATATTTTATACTAGAATTGTTTATATTAGAATTATTTACCTTGTGTTTGACTGTATATTGATAGATTTTTAATTGATCCCAAGCTGCAGGGAGAAAGAAAAATGCAGTCAGTAAAAGTATACAAAATAACATCAGTGAATACCATTGGGTGAAAATTTTCATATGAAAATTGAACAGTTCCATTAACAGCTATAGAGAAATTGTAAGAATTGGTATTTGAAATACTGGTTTTGAAAAAATTAGAAATTACAATTGAACTCCATGCATTAGCTGTTATTTGAATTTCATAAACATTTTCTGTTGAAATAATTAAAAAAGGAATTTTAACTTCCAAAATACTCAAGCTCCATAAAGTATTATTATTTTCATCATCAATTCTAATAAAAAATGGGGTAGCAACTCCGGTTGTTAAGATTAGAAATGATACAACAAATTCATCATTCATAAAAGCATTTAAAGTTGTCTTGGTGAATTTATTTTCTATCTTCTCAACGTAGAATAAATCTATAAAAATAATTAAACCAACTTTTTTTTTATTTTTTATTAAGAGATTTATAAGATAAATTATATTAGATTGATTTTAGAAAAAATAATATAAAAAATGAAAAGCAAAAAAACATTTTTTTTTTATGTTTTACATTTATGTTTTTTATGTTTTTTTGAGTTTTATTTGCTTAATTAAAGAAAAAAAAAATTTTAATTGTTGAATATGGCAGACAAGGCACAGATAAATTCAATATTAATACCTGCGTATTGGTTTGGGTAAACAAACTAATTCGCCTAGAATGTAGCTTCTTGTTGTTTAAAAATAAAAATCTTTGCCTTATTTTAAAAGCATTAAAAGAATAACATTAAAAGTAATATTTATTGAATTACACGGGCATAAATCTTTAATTTAATGATTGGGTATATTTTATTGTAAAAACAACAATAAAATACACTTTGAATTTGTATCAATGATTTATTGGGACATATAACACTAGAACACTAGAAAATCGCACATTACAAATAATATGCAACTAAAACAGAAGAGGATACATCTCCATTTGTATGTTTAGGGGCTGTTTATATGAACCGGGCTAGCCCTGTTAGCCGGACTGTCTCACTTTGGTGAGATGAATATTGTTATTAAGTTTATATGAATTTTTTCCAGCCCGCTAAACCGGGATGAAATATTTGTTTACATCACGTGCACAGTTAAAATAATTAAAAGCTGAAAAATGGATTCCTTACCATTACATAAACAAATTCTTACCTTTACAACTTCAAAAATGATCAATATACAAGTTATTAATATTCAAATTTATCTTTTACAATTTACAATGGCTATTAAAAAGAAAAGGGATTTTAATCAGCTAATAATTCTTGATTTATTGAGTTCTAAACGTCGTATTTTAAGAAGATTAAGATTAGCTAAAAAAAACAGGAAAAAAAGAAGCTGTTGGTTCTATATTGGACGCACAGATTTGTGGTGGCAAAATCTCATATTAAACATTACACCTAAAGAAGCTTATAAAAAAAACTTTCGATTAGATAAAAATTCCTTTTTTGAACTTGTCTCCCTTCTTGAACCTTATATATCTCCAGATTCTTACTCACCAAATATAAGAGCAATCACACCAGATAAAAAAGTTGCTATAACGCTATACTATTTAAAAGACAGTGGTACATTGAACATGACAGCAAACACTTTTGGAATTGCAGTTTGTACTACTTCAGCAGTCATTTTTGAAGTTTGTAATGCTATTGTAAAGTATATAGGACCAAGGTTTGTTAATTTACCAAAAAATAAACAGCAAATGAGAGAAAAAATATCTGAGTTTGAGTCAAAGTTTGGAATGATTCAAGCCTTTGGTTGTGTTGATGGCACTCACATTCCCATTGTTTGTCCAACTAATCATTCTCAAGATTATTTTTGTTACAAACAATACTATTCATTACAGGTTCAAGCAGTTTGTGATTACAAAGGCAGTTTTTTGGATGTTGAATGTATGTGGCCTGGTAGTGTGCATGACGCTAAAGTCTTTTCAAACTCTTCTATTAATACTAATTTGAGAAGTTCAAGACTTCCAGGAACCTTTCAAACTATTACTAAGAACAAAATAAAAGTTCCATGCTACCTAATTGGAGATCCTGTATATCCACTACTTCCACATTGTATGAAAGAATATAGTACATGCAAGAAAAATGATGAAGTCATTTTTAACAGTATGTTGAGGACTGAACGCAACCCTATAGAATGTGCTTTTGGTCGACTTAAAGCACGTTGGAAAATTTTGACCAAAAAAATGGATTTAAAACTTGAAAAAATTCCAACAGTAATTTATGCATGTTTTATTTTACATAACTTTTGTGAACGACACAGTATCTGCATTGATGAAGAGTTAGTAAAAATACAAGTTGAGGTAATAAATGAAAATGAAAAAAATTTTAGAAATTTACCAGATCCAATTTTTTCTTGTATTGACGGTGAAGGTGAAGTTATTCGCAAAGCATTAACTGAGTACATTAGTGAAAATTATGTTCAAAAGCAAACTGTTTACACAAAATAAAATCAAATATAACAAGAAACAATACTCATCTTTTGATAAAAGTTTTTTTTTTTTACATTTTTGTTCCAGTTTTATTATGATTTCTTGTTTGACAAGTTATTGTTGAACATGTTTAAAAAAATAAAATTTATTATTGTAATAAAACAGTGAATTTTAATTATAAGCTTTTCATTATTTTGTAAATATTTTAAAAAGAGTTTCTTAAAGATTTTTATTCTCTAAAAAATGTATCAATCACTTAAGACTTTTTAATAACATAAATGCTTACATGTCTAATTAAGTTTATAAATAAAAACTAGTTAAGCTTGTTTGTTTCTATCGTCAATTGACTTTTCTTGGTTATCATTTTTCTGAACCCAAATAGGTTGAAAAGCACTATTGTTTTGATAAATAAAGTGCTGAGGTGTAAGAGTTTGAATAGCAGATGTTTGTTGTTGGGAGATTAGTGTTCTGGAAAGTAATTCCATAGAGGAACACAAACCCTTGCTTAGGTCACTAATCGATTTACTTATGTCTTTTATGCAATCAGAAAAAGATTCATTGGATTCTTTTATGGCTTTAGTTAAATCTTTGCGAAGCTCTCCGTCACTTTTCATTTCATTTAAAAAAAGTTTATCTCTCTGTGCTGCAGAAAGATTTTTTTCAAGCATTTTTCTTTTATTGTCAATAAGTTTTGGAACTACAGATGTTTTTCTTTTTTTTTGTTTTAATTCATTTTCATTTTCACTACAGTCCGAAATATCCTCGTGATCATCAATTACATCTTCAATGTTATTTAAAGTTAATTTTTCGCAACTTGAAACACCAAATGGTAATGGCCTACTATTAGCTGAACCACCCCATATTGAGACAAGATTATCAATAAATTATTATAATAAATGAAGCATGCGTAATATGAAAAAAACTGACTCGCGTTGGTGGGATCCCACTCTAAACAAGTGAGATCTCAGTTATCCGGGCTAGCCCGTTTGCCATGTAAACAAGTTTAATTTTTATAAGTAAATCTTAAAGCTTACGAGATCTCGTTTAAACGAGCCAGCTCGGCTAAACGGGCTAGCCCGGCTCATATAAACAGCCCCTTAGTATATATGTTTAGTAAGAATGTTTATCATGTATGTATGTTTATTAAGTATGCATGTTTATTATGTTTGTATGTTTAGCATTTATGTTTATATTGTATCTTTAACATGTATGTTTAGTATGTATGTATGTTTCTTTTAGTATATATGTTTAGTATGTACGATAGAGGGTTATCTTTTTATATCAAGATAACAACTCTAAGTACAACCTTGCAAAAAGTCCTGTTAACAAAAATTTCTGCTGCATACTGATTTTTTAATTTCATGGAAGGCATTTTCATTAAAACCTTTTACTTTACAAACGCCATTGCATAGACATTTAGATTTATAAAACTTTTTTTTTTATTTTTATTTTATTTTTTTTATTTTTCTTCATCTTATGAGACTGTTTTTCTTTTTTCTATTTTCAGTTAACTAAACCTGTTTTATGTTGTTTTGTGTTTCAATTGTTTAATTTGCTTACAAAACAATATTAACAACATAAAAAATAAAGACATGTTGTTCAAGTAAAAAAGTACAAATTTTACAATAAAAACAGAAAAAATATACACTTATCTTTTTAAAATAGCACAATTTACAATATTTCATGAAAAATAAAATTCTTTTTTCTTTATAAAAATTTTCTTATTAAAAAAATTTAAATTTTTTTAATTAAAAATAAAAGCACTATGTGGTTTTAATAAACAAGTTAGTTTTATTTATAAATGACTTAAATGTGCCATTTATAAAAGACTTGAACTTTCAATTCTATATAAAAACAGTTCATAAAACAATTCCATATAAAAATTCTTTACAAAAACAATATAAATATATATATATATATATATATATATATATATATATATATATATATATATATATATATATATATATATATATATATATATATATATATATATATATATATATATATATATATATATATATATATATATATATATATATATATATATACAGGGTGTTAACCAGGAATAAATTTGATACAGTGTTTTAACAAAATCGGGAATTTGTCAAAGTATTTCTTAATCAATCCCTTCCTACCCTAACATTAAAATGTGTTCCGGGGCATGGGGTCCTTATTTGGTGTTCTTTTTTTTTCAACTCTACTTTAGTGCTGCATACATTTAGTGATTTCGCCGGTTATCCGTTTCAAAAACTGGATAACAGTTCTCATCAATTTGCGGTTAACCGACTATTCGGTAAATAAGTGACGCTTTCTGAATACAGGATCTTCTAACGTAGCGTTTTAAACTAATTTTTTAAAAATTAATGTTAAAGTGTACATTTTCAAGACAGTTAGTGAATAGAGTCCTATATTATATATTTATAATAAAACATGGAAAAAGATATATATATTTTTTATATTATAATATAATATACCTTTTTAATTATATAATTAAAAAAGGTAGGAATAATGTACAAATGTTTTAATATCAGCAGATGTTTTAAATGTTTTAATATCATGATGTTTTAAATGTTTTAATACCATGATGTTTTAAATGTTTTAATATCAGTTTAAATTCTATAATTATTTTTTAATATCAGCGGATGTTTTAAAATCATTCTCTCATATAAAAACATTTGATTTGGAAAAATGAGATGTTATGAAGTAAATTTTTTTAGCGTGTATTTTAAAAACTTTGTTATGCGGACATAGATGGAAACATAGATAAACTTGAATGTTCTCAAAACAACTTGTTGCGTAAAGATAATATAACAAATATTTGCTAATACTAAAATACTGCCAAATCCAGGAATAAACAAATTCTATTGGTTCAAAAAATACGCTGAATAAGCGAATTAGAGTTCCAGAATATTCTGAAGAATTTTTCTTAAAAATGTATTGCTTGAGTTGTAAAAGTAATAAATAAATCTTTGAGATTTCTATTGTAAATTGTTTTAAGAATATATTATTAAACAAAACTGATTAAGTTAACATTTAAATTAATAAAAGAAATATATTATAATCTTTGATAAATTAACATTTGTCAAACAATAATCGTCATAATTACTATGTTACTTTCTATAAAATTTCGTAAAATTTTTAAGTCGATTTTTATTATTCGAAAATAGATATTTGATATTTGAACAAAATCCGGTTAACCGCAAAACCGGATAACCGACGAAATCACTACATACATTGAATGATCAGCGCCAAAAATAAAATAAAATATCATCTGTATCATCAAAGATGAATATGAAATCAACACAAAATTAGCTGGTGTTTCACAACGACACGGCAAACTAAAAACAGATTTCCGAACATATATGTGGAGTGATATCTTTTTTTATTATAAAACAATCATATATGTATATGAATTATTATTGAGAAAAATTAATTTGATTTAATTTTAATCTTTATATATTGTCGCCACTTTCATTTCAAGAGTATTATTTTGAATATATATTTCTTTTTTAATGTAACATAGTAAAATAGCCATCTCCAATAAGCCAATGATCTTCTACTTCTAACTATTATTTAAATTCTGCTCGATGTACTTTACGGACAAACCCCTACATCATCATGTAATAAATTGTGTCATCAAAAGAAATTTTTTAAAATTAGATAAGGTTTTAAAAATAACAAACAAGAGATCATAAATTTCATATTTCACATTTATTGCGAGTTCAATTTTATAATTAATAGTAATTTATTTTATACATAAATGGCATAACGAAATAAAGTTATAATCACAAAGTCTCAGCAAAAACAACAAAAAATGTTGTTTAATTATAGAGTAATCTTATTAGCAAGCGATTGCACGTGTGACATCGAAGAATACCAGTAAAAAAGTAAAAAACTTTAGCAAATTCAGTTGATATAAAATGCCAAACAAAAAAAAAGAAAAACCATAACTAAAAGACTTTCCGTAGTAACCTTAATTGATCAAAAGGTATCTGACATAACCTTCTCGATGTTTTTGTTGACGAAATAAATGTACTACTTAAAGTTGAGTTTACAGTAAGACTTGATAAGTTATTTAACTTTTTAGCAAAAAAGGGCGAAACTTTTAAAGAAATAGCATTTGCAGGTTTTAAACCAAACAAGTTTGTTATTATTTTAGATCTTTTAGATTAGTACTTTATTTCTTGCTAACTTTTTTATATAATATTTGAGTTGTTGGAATGAATTGCTAAAAACTATTTTTAAACTTTATGGCAAGTTGGCACAAAAATCCTAAAAATCGCTCCAAAATCCCAATTCTTATTTTTTTTTTTCCATATATATATATATATATATATATATATATATATATATATATATATATATATATATATATATATATATATATATATATATATATATATATATATATATATATATATATATATATATATATATATATATATATATATATGTATATATATATATATATATATATATATATATATATATATATATATATATATATATACATAATATATATATATATATATATATATATATATATATATATATATATATATATACATATATATATATATATATATATATATATATATATATATATATATATATATATATATATATATATATATATATATATATGTATATATATATATATATATATATATATATATATATATATATATATATATATACATATATATATACAGGGCTCAATTTAATTTTTTATAAAGTCCTGGACAAAATGTCCAATCAAAACTTGTTTGGGTCGGACAGTGTCCGATCAAATTTTTAAAGCATAACTTTTAAGGTTTTATGGAACAGAGTTATGCAATTAAAATCTTTCTCATGTTCTTCAGTTTATTTAACGTTATTCTAGTGAATTTGCAGTTTCTTTCTTAATTATTTAGAATAATTCATCATAAATTTTTGTTTTTTAATAAAATAGTTTGAAGTTAATATTTTATGTTTATTTAGATAGACTTAAAATTCACGCTTTTTTAGATAGACTT